CTCATGCAGGGGAGATTTGAACCTGCTCGAAGCTTCTAAAAGACATTACATGTTTTACTTCTGTGTCTGTGACAGACATACTGGCATATATTTTACAATGGAGCGGTTTCACAGTGACTCCATCAGCATTGAGGCTGGTATGGAGCTGCTTCCCCTGTTCCTCATTTTTAACAACCCGTTGTTCAGGCTGCCAGTTGTATTCACAGTCATTAACATATCTAGGACTTCCAGAAGGCCTAGAGTGATATTGTTCTCGCAAAGTCAGTCCCAACTATTGTAAATCAAAACATGAATGTGTGATTCACCTGTCAAGTACTAATGCTGATAGTTAATCTAACATGTTAGGACTTCTCTTCAACGCTTGAAGTACTAACAAGCAGGAGAGCTCACTTAGCTATGCCATCCTAGATACTACGGAGAAAAACAATTCCTGATTGGCCAGTTTTCCACTTGGCATTGTTTACAAGCAATACAAGCATGATTCCACTGAATAAAAATGAACCAAAGGTTACAGCCAAGTATTTTTTAGTTCTCAGAAGTCATTAGGCCTTTTCTAAAGGCCTAGAAGGCCCTGAAGGTTGTTCTCTGGGATACAGACGTCAGAAACTGACGGAAGTCGACATGAGCAGTCGCGGACCTTTGGGTTTGGGCAGATATTTCAAGCTCTAGTGACAGGTAGCAAAGGGAACGCTGTGACTGTAACATATCCTCATTTGGCTGACATATGGGTTGTCTTCTTTTGCGCTCTCTCTCTTGCGCTGTCTTTTTCTCTCTGTCTCTGTCTATATTTACAAATTTACAACTTTATGTTTTGTTTGGCTTGATTCTGAAAGCCCTGCGGTGTGTATGAGCTATACAATATTCAGAACGGTGGTTATGTAACATTCTCAGTGACCTATATATATATGAGTATGCCTGCACAATTCAAAGAGGAAGACTCTGCTGATGTGCATGTCATTACTACTGTTTTTAAAGGAGCATAAGTTTCTGTCAGCAGAAAAGCAACAATATTCTCAGCGGCAAAGGTGTGTCTGACTTCAAGAGTCAGAGAACCGCCAAGTTCTTCCAACCTTAAAGAATGTTTGTTTGCTCTCACAAGTAGAGTACAATGGAAATGCGCATGCATGGAAATAAACAAATATCCATTTCCATTAGGGAGAAATGCTCTGGTATTGGGTTTCACTCTATTTTTAGACATGTTCAAGTCGGGATGTACATCGGCAGGATGTACATGAGTCCTACATGAGCTGTGGGCTAGTTAAATGCCTTTATATGATAATCCCTGGGAATTTAATGCTGCTAAAATTACCCAAACATATGAATAATTGATGTTTCCATTAGACAGTCCTACACCAGTGCAGACAGAGAGAGAAAGAAAAGGAGAGAGCGAAAGAGATTGGGCTGGATTTGAGCAATATGAGCTCGGCAATTTGAAATTTAAATGAGGCCCAAATGCCTGGGCCTTTTTACTGTGTATTATGATGCTGAATAGGCCGCCTGTCTGTGGATTGAGTCAGTCGAAAACAGGACAGACTTTCAGAAGCCCACGGACAGGAGCTTTCCTTTCGCTGCCTACTGATGGACTAGTTGGAATTGCCTGTATTGGTGATGAACAGGACCGGATTACATGCACAGTAGTTATTACTGTAAGTGGTGCTTTCCCGGATTTGTACTTTCCTTAAGCTTTTTAAAATGACACTTTTTAAAACATAATTTTAATGAAATATTCTCGTTTTCATTCCGCTAATAAGTATGCCCACTTACAGCTGCAAGTGGTCATAGTTTTGCTGAAGTCTCAGAAACGGTGTCACAATTTTCAGAATTTTACTACATATGGTGCTCCCTGGTCTGCTTGTACGCTTGGAAAATAACTGCTGCTACATAAAGTAATTGGCCAGCAGAAATGGGACCCAAAAGCACTCTTTCTTACTTTTTTGTCTTGCTTGAGCAGTTACTTTCTCTTTTTTTCACTGGGGTACTCTTTCTGTGCTGCACTGTGGCCCCTTTTAGCTGTAACACAGAGAGAGATAGCAAGTCAGACAGGAGGAGAGGGAGGAAAGGAGAGAAGCAGGGGCAGATAAAGACAGAGAAACAGATAAAAAGATACTACAGATACCAAGAGAGAGAGAAGGAAGAAGAGAGAAGAGATTGCCTGTTATTCAGGCACTCTGCCCTCTGTGCCCTGTCGAATACAGCTCCCTGCCATCTGTCTCTTTTGATACTCGTTTCTCGGATGAGAGAAATCGCTATTATTTCTCTGTATGAAGCGAGTTCTCTGCTCAACCCCACGCCTTTTCAGCCTTTCTGCTTTCTCCTCTGTGTTCTTGAAGCACCTTTTCACAGATTGGCTCTCAGCGGAAAGCTAGGATTGAATTGCTGTGATCGTGCCACCTGTCAGATTTAATACCACAAAGCCCTGATGCCCATTTCAGGAAAATTCCCCCCTATTCTTACACTATTATTTCATATAAAAAAGGGATTCAAAGTCACTTTGTTAGGGTTGGAGCCTTTTATTGTGGTGCCAGGATGTTCCTCTGTTCTTTTTGTGATGAATTTCTAAAGGTTGTCACATTTTGACATGTTCACGATCTCTTCTGCAGATAGTGATGCACTTAGTGATGAATAAGTGAGACGTCATAAAGCAGACAGTGAGGCTTCTTCGGGTGAGAGTCAAGGTTTTGAGCAAACTCAGTGACGCGCATGCATACTGACTCTGGATCTACGGGAATAATTTGCAATACAACATTTTGGCTCATTAGTTATTCATCACCTTGGATTGTGTTTGTGTCTGACTCCATGAACACTGGCGTTTGATGTTTGCCTCCCCAGTGACTGACTGAGGCCAATTAGCCTAGCATGTCGCTAATGGAATTGGCAGGTTGATTGAAGTCTTCATTTCAGATGGAGTCGTTTGAGAAATTATTCTAGCTGACTGGGTTATTATGGCAGTTGGTAGTACAGTAATGAACATTTTAATGATGCTATTTGCATAAGTCTATGCTTTGTGTGCCAATAGGTAGCCTATCCTTTTGATGGATTTTACATACATAAAGAAGCTGAATTGTGGAACGTGAGGTCAGTAAGTTAAGTGTAGCCCAAACATTCATAGTATTTCAGCTTAGAAAAGGTTGTGGCCCAAGACATGCCATAATTTGAATTTATCAGCTCGATATAAGAAATATTCTGTAGAAAGAAGCGTTTTAGGAACATCTGGACTTGAGTTAGAATGAATGGGGATTCTGGGTTATTTTACTTAAGCAATAGAACACGAGAGGGAATGTGTTATCACAAAATAACACCACAGCCGAAATAACACACAACCTCCAGTGTTCTGTTGCTTTTATACAACAGGTAAATAAATAAAATAAGAAATTAATCAATTGGGCCTTGAACGTGACATTTAATGTTTTAATGTTAGCAATTCCTTCCGCCAAATTGTAGATCCTTAACAAGCAGCTTGTTGCTACGTCAGAGTAACGAGCTCCGTGTGCTGTAAGCCTCACCTTCTGAAGTACAGACTGAGCCATAAGTTTAGGAATGTAGTGCAGTCTCATCTTCAGAGTCTGACCAAATCGGCTGTCGGTCAAATGTGATCTTAAAGTATCCATTTTCTGTTTGTGGCAAAGTAAGAAGTAAAAACGTTCAAATGTCTTGAGCGTCTCCTACAGCTGTCAAAGTCGTTGCTTAGCAACGGCATCTCAGCGGAGTAATACAGTGTTTGTGAAAAAACTGTGACGTTATGGCGAAATAACAGCACAGTTAGAACGCTTCTCAACTAATCAGCTTGCGTGGCCGGAACTAACTGTTGTATAAACTGAAACATTCTTTGTTTAGCCTAAAGATTCGGACCCTAAACTAATGAATCTTGTGGCAAAAATTAAAGAAATGTTTATCGTATGTACATTGTTTTTATAATCAACAAGCATTTTTTGAGTACCAAAAACAGTCAGGTGCTGCTTTTTGCTATGAGTCCCCAGTTGTGCTTCATCTTTCTCTCTATTTTTCGTTATTTTCATTATACCAGTCAAACAAGGAAACGACACGAAGGGGTCCTAGTTTTTTCATGGTATAGTCAGCCAGATTAAGGTTTTTATTATTCTATCCCACTGACTGGCTGACAAAGAAATTATTTGTTCTAGAAAGAATTCTGACAGAATCTGATTTAGTGAATGACTAACTGGCTCTGGATTTTGTGCTAGAGGTTGAAGTAGTTTATTAGTGATTGATATTTGTGAATATGTGAAAATTCAACTTTTTTTTTTCGTGAACAAAGCATGAAATGTCACATTTAATGCCAGGGTCCAGTGGGCATTAGTCAGTGTCGACCCTGATATATATATAATATAGAAATCAAAGGAAAGGCTAACTTGCTTTTTCTTGTGTTAAAGTCTGACTGACCCATCTGTGCTCCGCTCACAACTGCAAAGTTGGGCATGCCTTACATAACATTGACCACAAAAACTTACTCAATCTAATAAAAAATGCAGCAAATTTTCAGGCCCCTCTGCACAACATTAAGCTTGCCATTTAAAATGCTGTGCTATGCTTGATTATGTTGTAGGTAATTGATGAATAATTATGTAATCTTTAACACATATACAGATTATGTAGGCATTCTGTGAATGCCGGTGTTGAAATTTATGGTGCCAAATTATGACAATATAATTTTATTCTCACTTAAAGCTTGCAGCCATGTGTGCTTTGATAGCTGCTGATGACCTGACTTGCAGGCTTCAGACATGGCTTGTAGTGTTGGTGTGGAAAATCTCAGTCCGCTCCCTGACCTCTTTCTTCTCATAACAGCCCTGTGGTTGCAGGACATAAGATGCATCTTAAACAGGCTGGAGGCATTTTGAACCCAGTCACCTCCACTGAGCATGACAGCTTGAGAAGAACGACACTACTTTTCTGAAAGTGCATTCTCTCCCTCATTCTCTGTGTCTGTCACACACTAAATTTCTATCACTGCTTATTTGTTTGTCTGCATGTGTCTTTCGTAGATGATTCCACGGGCTATGGACCTGTGTTTGAGGAGCAGCCAGTCAACACCATCTACCCCGAGGAGGCACCGGAGGACAAGATAATCATGAGCTGCCGAGCACGAGCCAGCCCACCTGCCACATACAAGTAACATATGCTCTAACTATCCATGCTGGGCTTTACTGCTCTAGTTAGCAAACCTAACATTTGAATGCATAGCTAACTCTCTGTTGTACAGCAGTAGCACTTGTAAGAAATTGATTATAAGGTTAGTCCTTTGGACTTTACACTGCAAGGTACTCATTAGCTACATTTAAAAACCATTATTTATGTGTAAAATCAAGCAAATAGGGTTTTGTATAGTACCAAAAATGTTCTAGGACACAGAGGGATAGCTACGGGGGGCCTGGGGGTCCAAGGCTTTCTCACTTGAAAGCCTTCAGCAAACCGGCTGTGGTAACAAAAAAGTCCAGTACTGCTGAAACACAAAAAGGGAGAATGGTCTTATATATTACAGCGGTCTGCTGCAATGTATTGGCCTCTAGTTAATTAGACAATACCTGCCATGGTATGCTGTCTGCTGTTATAGTAACCAGGCAGGTACATGCAATCTCAGTAGCTACAACGAAGTAGGCTAGTTGGCTAATTGAATGCTGTCAACTGCACTATAGCAATGTCTCCTAATACTCAGCTGACCTCCTCACCCTGTAACCAAGCCCCCCTTTCCATAGCTGTGCCACTGCTATGACTTGTAACAGCTCTTTTTGGTGTGGCAGAGGGCTGTTTTAAAAAAGGTCTTTAAAGAATTACGAACAACAGGTTTGTCATCATGGAAATAAACATTATAATAATAATAATAATTGAGATAAGAGTAATTGAAGCAATAAAGAATGCAATAACTGATCATCTTCATTATGGAGGGGAACTGTAGTTTAAATAGAACACACGTGGCACACATTAACCTTTTAAGTGTTACCCCATTTTTGCCTAAAACAACATAGCCAAAGTAAAAAGAGTGCCGTTCCCACATTCTTTGGGCTTCAGTCATGATTTTGGTCTCATCAACCGCAAATTGAGATAACACTCAGTTGTCAAAATAATCGTATGAATTGCTGACACAGACTAACACTAGAATGCTAGAATGGAGGTTTCATAGATCTCTAAACTGATCTCTGACTCTTGCCGTGTTATCAGCCCACATATTTTAGATTATGATGTCTGTGCATAGCAGCAAGGCTTTGAAGGTAAGGACCCAAAGATTTGCCAGCATTTGCACATTTGGTGCTTATGTTGCAAATGAGACAATCGGAACTGCTGTAAATAACAGACAAACAAAATGGTTTGTGGGAATCAAATCCTGAGATTTCAAGCTTTCTAATGGTATATTGCATCACCATATCGCTGGATAACTAGATGCATAAAAATGATGATAAAAAACTGAAGTGTACCGACAGTACAGTGATCTAGAAAAAAAATCAAAGAAACACTTAAACGTTCTATTGGTTTTTGAGTTGTTGTTGAGGTTCTGTATATAACCATTACCTTTAGGGCTCTCTCAGATGGCAAGTGGCAAGAAAGTGCTTTGCGCTGGTGATGCATTTATTTGTCTGTGGAGAGAGCGGTGCCACTTCACCTTGACATTGCCACTTGGATTTGCTGCTTTGCTGTTTTTTCTACCTTTCCGCTGCTCAAAGTCCTGTCAGATTCAACTTTGACCCAAATTGCCACTGACCTATCAAAAGTGCAGCCAGTAAGACAGCTGTTGCATATGATGTATTTAACAGTCACGGTCTTATGTCTGCTGATGGTTGAGGATCTAATTGATCCTTTCCATGATGGCTTAACTTGGTATTACTTGTTTGCTGATGTTCTTTGCTTAAAAATTCAAATATCCCCTAAGGGCAGCTCAGCATGAAATCATCACTGTGTTTTCATTTATTATTAAAAATGGATTAATGTTGTATGTTGTTTTATGTTCATTAGATTTTAGATGGTGATTCTGAACAAGTTTTAGAGAAGATAGTACAGAGAATAACCTCACCATTATTTAGTTCCTACAGTTACAATGCAAAGACTATTCTATAATAATAATTCAAAATATTTTTGACTGTATTATTTAATATTTTACTTATTTAGAAATGGATATCATGTATAATGAATGAAAATGAATGTATAGTGACCTACATTATAGATTTCGGTTTTTCGCTCTTTCTTTTTTTTTCCTTTTATATTTTGAAAAAAAAAAAATCTTAATCTAGTTTTGGGCTTGACTCAGACTTGACTACTACAATCTCTTGGTCTTGACTTGGGCTCAATATGTCCTGTTCTTGGTCTTGACCTGGACTCGCCTCTAATGGTCTTTACTTCAAGACTGATATGACGCGTGACCTGTGACCACTTTTGTTTTCACTGGATCTTCATTTTTTTAGCATAATGAATAAACATGCCTCTTTTGTTTTTTTTTTCTTTTTTACAAAATGTGTGCAAATACACCCGGCGTCAGGTGGATGGTTTTTAATCTTGTGATGATGACGTAGCACCGCTGAGTGCAAAGTGGCAGTGTGCACCCAGCCTTACAGTGAGCCAAGTGTAAAGCATCATCTGAAACATCTGAAAACACCCTTTTTTAAAAAAAAATGTAAACCTTGAAGAGCCAGACTGTAGAACAAAACAACCAGATCATGCTGGAACACTGTTGTGCTTTAGACTTTAGCCACCTCTGGCTGAGCCTCCATTCCACTCAACTGGTCCCATTACTCTTCACCTTGTTCATCAGCAGTGGGCCTTGACCCTCAGACATCATCTGCCCCCTTTCGCACTCCATTTCCATGTGGGGTTTGACCCTTTCTGCGCCTCAGATTAATCCACTGCTGTAACTCTGTCCCTCTCAGCACCCGCCCTCCTTAACTCAATTTTCCCCTCCGGCACCTCTCTGTTACCTTCACTCTATCCCAAGCTGCCTGAAAGATCAGAGGCCATTTGAAGAATGAGATTAACCATTTCCAGCTCATTTCCTGTTGAGCTGGCACCCCCTCAAGGTCACCTGCAGGGTTGAGCATTCGTAGCCAAAACAGATGGCAAGAAACGTGGCAGTTCTTCCTTGTACGGAAAGCCTTGGTTAATGCAGAGCATTTGCACAACTCTGTGTATTCAGCTGCGGATTACTCACATATCTGCTGCACAGTTAATAGGAAATTTATCAGTTTTTTAGTAAGATGTCTTGCTTTTCTGGGTTTTTATACACCATGTGAAATGAAAGCTGCTAATGCATTGCTTTATCGCATCTTGCTTGTGTAATGCACAGCTACTATCCTTCTGTGCAGGTGGAGTCTGAATAGCTGGAAGATTGATGTCCAGGATGGTAGTGATAACCACTACACTGTGGTGGGGGGGAACCTGGTCATCAGTAACCCTGACAAGAGCAAGCATGCTGGGAATTACTCCTGCCTAGCAACCAATGAGTTTGGCACCGTCATCAGCCGGGAGGCATCCGTCCAGTTTGGATGTGAGTGACCGTGACAAGGCCAAGTCACACCATTACGTAATGCTGCTATTGGTCCACTGAATCTGGCCTGAACTTTTTGTTCTTCATTAAGTGTTACGCAAACACTTAGGTAGCATTTCCAAAAAACCTAAGCTTATGCCTTTTAGCTACGGGCAGTGTTTGTTGAGGAGAGGCAGAAATTAATTTCTGCTGTCAACCTTTTTAAATGCTTGTGTGGATTCTGCTGAATTATGGGTTTCAGTCAGAACTGATGATGATGCAAACTACACGAAGCTGTGTTTTCCTTCTTTTGTTTGTAAAAAATGTGCAGCATTATTATCAAAGGTCATCAGCTCAGATCGGGTGTGGAGAGCCATAATGACTGATTCTGAAAGAGCCTAAACTAATTTCATTCTGTGTCTCTCTAGATCTGGACATGTTCTCCACAGAGGAACGAGAGGCTGTGTACGTGAAAGAGGGTCAGGGGGTGGTATTGTTATGTGCCCCTCCTCCACATTTTCCAAGTAAATTATATATATAAAATTTAAAATCTCTTAAGAATATAGAGGGTTTCAAAAGTCTAAGACCCCTAGTGAAAGCACTTCTATTTGGCATTAATTCTAATATAACAATACAATACACTATATTTCATTACAAATTATATTATTATAACAATTATAACAAATATTACAATTTGAGTAGAATCTTTGAAAATTATTATATTTTGTACTTCTGTCATTTGGTTTAATGACAGTGTGTTTGTGTAAAAGCCTCTGATGAGTAGATCAAATCCACCTGAGAGTCGTTTCAACTGTGTTTCTGTTGAAGGAAAAAGACAAAAAAAAAACATCAGACATTTTTGTACAAAGGCCGAAATATGGGGTCAGTGTCACAAATTTGCCTAAATTTGAAATAGTGCAAAATCTTGAACATTTTCCTTCATTTTACCTGCCATAACATTTCTTTGTTTTAAATTTTTAAAAATTCTAACAGATTCCAAGACTTTCAGTGTTCTCTCAGACTTTTGGATCCCACTGTATCTTTATAACATTTACACCTAAGGAAGTGGAAATGCCACCCAAAAATACAAAAAAGACATTTAGTTGCTAAGGTCAGAGTTCATGAACATTCTTAGCGTTTGTACTTCTTTTATCTTCTCTGTTTAGATGATCTTTCCTTTCGCTGGATGCTGAATGAGTTTCCCATCTTCATCCGTCTGGACAAGCGCCGCTTTGTCTCTCAGACCACAGGGAATCTGTACATCTCTAAAGTAGAGGCCTCCGACAGTGGGAATTACTCCTGCTTCGTCTCAAGCCCCTCTATCGCCAAGAGTGTCTTCAGCAAGTTCATTCCTCTGGTCCCTCTGGCTGAGCGTAAGCCATTAACTCTCTTCTTACTCAGCGTTTCAGTGAAAGGGAGTAAAAACAGTTCATTAAAATGAGTCATATGCAGCAAAAATCAGTTTACGTGCATAGATTGCATAGGAGGAGATGTAATAAATTGCCATGTCAAAGCAGCTAAAGTAATTCACAAAAGAGACACTTATCCATCAACATTATGACTTTTTCCACCTCTACACTGCATCTCTTTTACAGAGGCATAGACATCATACTATTTTAAAGAAGACTGATGCATTATTTTAAGAAATAGTGTGACTACAGTCTGTTTAGATCACTAAGGTGTCAGTGCTATATTTTTTTTTTCTTAGGTCTTCTAGGCAACACTGACTGGACGGAAGTTGTGATTGATTATGTTTTTGCCTCTAATAGAAACCACAATTTAAGCAGTCAAGAGGCTTTTGTGTGCGAGAGCTTGTTTGTATAAAGCTGGAAGGAGTTGTGAAGAAAGGAATAAAAGCGAGGAAATTTGGAAAGGGGGCGGTTGTTGCTGTTCCCCGGAGTTCCTTTTGTCAGCCCATCAATTATCCCCTGTTTGGATTCTGAAACAAGGCCTGCTTTTTAATGCATGTTTTGTGTAAAAAGGATATTCCCCAACTTTTTCCAGAATGCCTAAACAATAAATCACACATCAAGTTAATTTGTAAAGATACTGCGAAAGAGATTAAATGTCCTTTTTCACATTTATGCTTACATAAGTTTTAGTCCTTTCCCACTAACTTGACAGCCCCTCCAGGAATTAGCGATCACGTATTGACGCAAATTCACCCAACCCCTGCTGTATTTGTAAGGGTTATCAGTTTTGTCCTATCATCACATTATTGCCATAATTAAATGTGTAGCTTGTTTAAGTGCGTTCACAATTACTTGAAGTCTTTTTGTGCTGCATACTGTGTGCTGTGTGCAACGCCTTATAATCAATAATTAATTTTTAACAATATGCAAAAATGTTGTAATAATCATTTAGTTCACCCCGGCCAGTTTAAGAGCACTTTATTTTACTTCTTTTTCCCATCTCTCCTGAATATTTCACCGTATAAAATATGGTGCTTATTTTACGTTTGAGTACCCAAAGGACGATTTTATTGCTCTAATGTTGCTCTTTGAAGGCTCAGGAGACTTATGGAAATCAGAGAAATAGCATTAGACAAAAAAGAGAGCACAATGTGTGACTTTATTAGATCTCTACACCAACTGAAGAAGAGAATCGTGAGATTGCCTGCTTCTTTTTCTCAGAAGAAATAGCTGAGCAGCAGAAGCCTTAAGCAAAAGTCTACATTCTCTTTAGGTCTGATCTCATTGTTGTCTAGAAAAAACTATAGCAATATTAAGGAGATCTCATTTTTTATTGTTCTTTCCTCTGGGTAGTTTCATTACATCAATTTAATATAAAATACTAAAAAACTCTTTATCAGGATCATAGTCATCACAAATGTCTGCAGTTTTATTGCAAAAAAAAGAAACAACGTGTGAAAATTGTTGCAAATACCTGCAAAATTAAGCATTTTAGCCGCAACAGTAACAAAAAATAGCTGTGAGACACTAGTGGCCATGACTTGACTCGTCTAACTAAAGGCTGGTGTTAGGCAATTTGCATTAAAACAGTGAATATGAGTTTATTATCGTATGTAAGATGTTGTGGCAGACAAAATATCTGGAGGACATGCAGACAGGAGCAGAAAAGCCTTTGTTTTTTTAGTACTTTCAGAGAGTCTCCACACATACACCCCCCCCTATTCTCTCATGCATATGGTCGCCAGTGACTACAACACTGTAGAGCAGCACAAGCCCTAGGCTCCGTCTTGCCCCATATTTAGAGCCATGCTTGGCTGTGTGTGTGTGTTCATTAGTGTGTTCATGTCTGTTTCCTGCCTATCGTGCCTGAGCTGTCATAGCATAGCCAAATATTTTGAACCGAAACACCAAGCATGCTACCCAGATTGACACCAAACAAAATGATGTCACCGTGTGTTTCTATTGACTGTGAGTAATGTGGAAGTGGAGGCAGAGACAGACCCCAGAGGTGGCTTGTGAAACAGGTGACTCAGCAGGGTGATGCTGTATACTGTTTCTGCCAGGTCCCATTCGGAAGTACCCAGCCGATATCAAAGTGAAGTTCCCAGACACATACGCGCTAGTTGGCCAGAACATCACCCTGGAGTGTTTTGCGTTGGGAAAGTGAGTCCTTTTGCTTGTGTTTTGCTGACAGTTGCATTATAAGGGCATGTCAGTAGAGTTCAGAAAGTCATTCAGTTTCACATTTATTGACCCCACTTAGTTATGAGAAATTTCCAGTTAAACAAGCTGATTTTTTTCCCCCAAACGTACTAGCTCTAAAAGACTCAGTGTTTCGAGCTCATTTTGTTTGTTTTTGTTGGTGAATGCCTTGTGTGTTGCTGTTTGATCCCCAGTCCCATCCCACAGATCAGATGGAGGAAAGTGGATGGAGCACTGCCAGCCCACCATGAGATCAGCACGGTGGGAGGGCTGCTTCATCTCTTTAACGTACAGTTTGAGGACGAGGGCATGTATGAGTGTGAGGTGATCAACTCCAAAGGCAAAGACTGGCACAAGGCACATCTCTATGTGGAAGGTAAGACTGTTGCCAAAGGGAAGAACCTAGAACCTGGGTAAATTCACAGCTTTGACTGTACTGGTAAAGCACAGTGCCAAAGGCAAAGATAGTTTTATGGTAATGCTGATTTTATAATATTTTGAGGCCATTTACTTCAACAGTGTTTCTTGCAGCAGGAATTGTGGAGGCAATGTATAGTAAAGTCATCATGGAAAGAAACTATTTATGTTTATTGTCACTATCTTATCAACTTTTAGTTAAACGGTGGCCGCTGCTCTTTACATTGAAAATTTCATTGATGAACAGGCAAACAGAAATGCCGAAAGTGATTTGCAATAAAACTGTATTACTTTAACATACACTAAAGTGTAGAATGTTGTTCCTTCTCATGTAAAGTTATTTTGGAGATACAATGTTTTGTTGCAACAGTCACAATATTCATACGTCACAAATACTCACTGTAAAAATGAAAAGTTGAACAATTTAATGTTAAATATCTTACATCTAAGATTTGTAATCGGGTTAAGAAAGTTTGTGTTGTGATTAGGGTTTCAGCAGCTACCAAAAGCATTGAAGAATGCTAAGAAAACAACAATCTAATATTTTCAAACATCCGACAGCTCATTAGCAGATCTCTTTAACACAGTTTCAACAAAGCGACATGCCTGCTTTTAACAGTAACAGGCAAAAATATGTTCTCTGCTTCAGATGATGGAATTTTGATAAGCCAACATTACAGATGTGGCTGTTGCGTGGTATATTGAGCTAATAAATGTGTAATTTTTATACGTATATTATCTAGTAAAGTAAGCTGCTAGTTTAGCTGTTTGGCTGACCAGTGCTGCACACTGCAGCCATGCGTGTGAATTAGAGACTTTCTTTGCCTCAACTCAGTGCGACAACACTTATGAAGCATCAGTGCCTATTTGACTGCTAATGCCCCCCCCTCATGGAGAATTTGTGGCCTGTGAAATGTGAGTTTCGTGAGGTGCTGCAGTGTATAAAGTCAGGGTTCCCTGAACAGCCTTTTCGGTTTGTGTTTGCAGTCATGCTACAAACATGAATAAATATGCGTATTTTAATTATCAATATAGGCCTATAAAAGAAAAGAAATGTGTATTTAATTCCTTAAAAAGCTCTTTATGGTGATGCAGATTTGTTGTGACAGTAGCCATAACTGCTTCTTACAGTTTACCATGCAGTTTGTGCATTTTACACACCACACAGAGAATAATGTTTTTTAAGCATTCTTGCAGACTTGTAGTTCATCATAGAGTAGTTTGAGCTGTGCACATGCATGTTTTGTAATTGCCTGTTTAAGTTACTTGTTCTCTACATAGGAAACCAGGGTTAAAGTCCAGTGCTAGGAAGTAGCCATTGGACTTAGGCTAAATGCAGTATGTCACTTTAGTGTTGCACATGTAAGGTATTTTTGTTAGCCCTTAACAGTATGTTTATCACAGAAACATATATCGCAATAGCAATAAAAATCTGATTTATTGGGCAGCCCAAAGCCCACTTAGACATTTAGGACATGTAAGAGTGTGTACTGCAGTTATGTTGTCTTCTTGAAAAAAGTGGTTAAAATATACTTGAATATGTGACAAACAAACTGGGGAAAATTCCAATTTAATTTCTGAGCCTAGTTGTCAGAGTTATAATTAAAGCCACATCGTGGTTTAATCTGCAGCCTCAAAAGTGTCATGTCCTTGAAAGTATTTGGGATATATGGGATCTTTAATCCTTCTTTCCTAGACATGCATGCTCATTTAGAGTTTTTCTCTTACAGCTCCTCCAGACTGGGTAGAGCATATCAGTAGCAGCGAGAAGGGCATTGGCAGTGACTACACATTGTCCTGCCTAGCCGGCGGAAAACCCAAACCTCAAATATACTTCCTGAAGAATGGCCAAATGGTATGAGCCTCACATTTTCTCCATCCTCAGACTGTTTTCACTAAAGCTCAGAGTGGCTTAGTGTTGGCACTAACCTTATTGAATCAAGTTCACAGAGGTACTCCAACTTTTCACAACAAACATGGAAGTTCTTATGTTAGTTGTTGCATCCGTAAGGATGAGAAAGTGAACTGTACAATTGGTCAACAAGCACAAAAAACCAAACACATCAAATTCTACATTTTGATTGGTGTCAGGGAAACGTGTGTAGGGGCTGTTCTAGCTTTAGGCATGGCAGGTCTTTGGCTCTTAGCTCTCTCAAGTAGGGCAAAGAGTCAATGAGGCACAAACTCCAGGCTGCATCTCGATTCTGAGCGGGTGCCGACACGATTGCATAACACCACTGGCAACAGGCATTTCGGTTCCAGAAGGCTGGGAGTGTATGGAGGGGGCATAGCACAGCAGGGGCTACCCTCTAAACACACTCTGCATGCAAATCCAAACCTCATTATCTCACTGACATCAGTACACGAACAGTGAAGCATCAGCAGTGACAAATGTTACACAGGTAGTGCTGTCACAAAGGTTTCAGTTGTCGCTAGAGCAGCTTTAATAGGGAATAACAACAAATATCTCTTATTCAGTTCAGTAATTTGGTATTTCCTCAGTAAAGAGTGATTTCCATACTGGGGGAAAATGTCATTTTAAGGATTTTTTCTGTTATTTGAGAGAATTATTTGTTGAGTAATCCTTGACACCAGGTTCTTGAAAATCATCTGTATATTATATTATGAAACATAAATGATTCTCTGCTTATTTCCTCCTGACAGTATGGCAAGCATGAGCTACGCTTCACAGATATGACATTTTACGACTCTGGGATGTACCAGTGCATCGCTGAGAACCGCCACGGAGTGATCTATGCCAACGCTGAATTGCGAGTGTTTGGTGAGCTGCTTCGTGCTCGTGGGGTCCTGCTGTCTTAACATTCTTTCTCAGATTTAAGTTAATAAGATGACACTGTTCAAACAAACACAGTTTGGGCTGTCACTATCAAATATACGAGCAAAACTGCCTGCTTCGCTTATACATCAGCAGTTTAAGCTTGAAACAGACATTCAAGTGTCACATTCATTACTTTGTATATTGCAGTTTTACAGAATCCTTCGGTAAAGCCTAGTGAAGTATTATTGGAGAAATCTGTTAGCTTGTTAGCTGTCTGCTGATCTGTTCATCTTAGACTTAGTTAAACAAAATCGTTTAGTTCTTATACACTTTAACTTCATATACCACAACTTGCAACGTCAAACATTTAATTTTACATCATATATACACACAGTTTGTAACTACAAACGTGTGCATTCAAGGGATCCTGCTGGTGAGGGTTTCCTCTTCTTTGGGTGGAGAATCTTTAGGCTACAAAACATGGCTGTATAATGACCTGCAGATACCCTGGTTATCATTCAAATAACAAATACATTACTAAATTTTAATCAATTAATGTTTTAATGAAGTAATTGATTATAAACGAGTAATTGTAAACAAAATATAAAGAGAATCTCCTGGCCTTGCAGGAATTTCTCTGCATGTTCTGGGAGTAAACCCAAACTCTGATAACTCAGTGATGTTTCCTGTCATTAGCGAGCTCTCCCTCATTCGAGTTGAACCCAGTGAAGCAGAGGATCCTGGGGGCAAAGAATGGCCATGTGGTGATTGAGTGTAAACCCAGAGCAGCACCCAGACCCACGTTCTCTTGGAGCAAAGGCACTGAGCTGCTCTCCAACTCCAGCAGGTAGGAGATACAGTCACATTGCATCAGTTAAACTGTAGCATTAGTTTTCCTACAAATTCCTGATTTTCTAACAATGCTGAAGTTTGTTCAAGAACCCAGTGAAATATCAGGGTAAGTTCAGTTTTTGTGACAACTTTGTTTTACTTTAAGGACCCAAGGTCTTACAGAGCTCTCATAAAGCAGTAACCACTTTTAAATCAGGTGACCAAGTTAGCGTCCAGTTTGGAAGTGTTTCCTTCAGTTTAAGTTACCTTAGAGCACCAGTGCTAAGCTCTGTCTTAAGACCCTCAGCCAGGACAGACTCTTGCTGAGTGAGAGTTGATTTCTCTGAGATAACACAAGGACTAATCCGATCCCTCACTGGCCAGTGCTTAGTCTACAGAAACATATGGCCTGGTCAAGGGCAACATAATCTTGATAGAGTTGTAGTAAAAGCCACGGTAAAGTCAGGAGATGAAGCAGGATTACTCAGTTGTTATTTGTGAATGAGTAGTGAGTTTTGGTAAAGAATGATCATCAGTGGGCTTGACTCTTAGGGCACTTTTATACCTACCTCATTTGATGCGGACCTATCAAGCTTTTTCTTTAGTTTGAAAGGTGTGAACACTCCACCCACACTCGAGTGCGCACTAAACAAATGAACCAAAGTTTGGCAAAAATGGTGGGTCTCATTTCGCTTACAAATGAACACTGGTTCAGCTTGGTGGGAATGCATTGTTATGGTATGCACCAAACTGAAGTTATTACAGTGTTTAAATTTCAATATATTTTTCATTTTAGTTTTTTATTCCGGTTTAGTTTTAGTTTTAAAGAAGAAGCAGATATCAAGTCAGTTTTATTAGTATTGCTTTGACTGTGATACATATAGACATTAAGTATCTCTATTTTCATTGGTTATATATATATATATGACCAATGAAAAAAATACTAAATCACAAAAATCCAAGCTCAGGCTCAGACTTTGGCAAATGAACTAGGTATGAAAACAGCCTTACATGTTGGATAACATTGTCAAATTGTGTACTGTAAAGAAAGTTGCCAACTTGAATTTCTTTACAGTGGTGGAGATAGGAGTTGCAATGTTTTCAGTGCAAACATAGCCATTTAATTTACTATCCAAAATGACCAGTAATGTTTTAAAATAGTAGTAAATCTGAAGAAAATAGTTTTTCTTTGGACACTATTTTGCCTTAAAATGCACTGTTTATACCTATATACCATGAATGGATTTAAAAAAAATACAATTTAGACCAGAAACTGTATCTCAAAACTATCATAAATCAATATTTCGGGCATCAGGCAATGTAACTTTGTGAGGTAGAATACATAGACATGAAATGCTTGAGACGTCCAGTTCCTGTCACCACAGTTTTGAGCAATTTAAGCAACAAAGTTTCTCTCAAACGGCAAACTACTCTGAATGAACCAGTTTACATTTTAAAAATGTAATTATGCAGAAATTCTAAAAAAATCGAGGAATCATTTGGCAAAATATGTAATTTTCATTCTCCCCTTACTCCAAATGCAGTTGATCAGTCATGACGTATGATTCTTAGGTAAACCTACAAGGCTAATGTAGCTAACAAGTCATGGAAACTTAAACTCCAGCAAGTCTGTTTGAGATTACCTTACAACTGAATATGATTTTAGACAAATGTGTGATGACTAAGCGGTCAGTTTTCACAGTTAAATTAGTGAGGTCTAAGCTTTCGTTACTTGCTAGCTACATTCACAGCGTATATCCGGTATAACATTAAAGGCGCAAACTTCAGGCACCAAACATGTCGTGGCCAGTTCACTACGTTAGGGGTGAGGAGACATTTGTGTTCATTTGATTTTTCAGCTCCTCTATCAGAGATATTGCGTGTATTTTCTTGGAGTATGTTAACTATATGATGTGTGTGTTACCTGTAGCTTGTTTTTAAAGGTAAGCTAGTGAAAATAAACTGCAAGCCCATGTGTTTAATGATAGGATATTTATTTGGGAGGATGGAAGTCTGGAGATCCGTAACATTACCAAGTCAGATGAGGGAAAATACACATGCTTTGCTGAGAATGACAGAGGGAAGGCCAACAGTACTGGATCCCTCTTGGTGACAGGTAAGAGGCTAAAAACTAAAGCTCTGCCAGTCTGTTTGTGTTCTGAATAGCAGTGCACAGTTAAAAATATATGGCTTATGTTTGGAGATGCCACACTGTGAAATGTACACTAATGCTGTGATAAGCACATTTATGAAACCTGCTACAAAAAGATGTGTGCTGTATTGTACTGATAAAGACAATACATAATTAATGTTTGCAGAGAAAGATTAGTAAAAATCTGACTGCCATGTCTTTGTCAGTGTAATGGAAGTGTCTGTACAAGACATTAGAAGATTAATTTGGATTTATGGTGTCCTTACGTAAGACATAAATCCTACAACCTGGTTCAGTTATCATTATAGTTTGTGTTTGTACGTGTGAAAGAGAGAGAGAGAAAGAATGTAACTCTCAGTTCCATCTTTTGTGCCTTGTTCTGATTATAATGGCCTGTGGGTACAGATAGAGATTCTGAATTTGGTGTAATTTTCTTGCTCAGTGAAGACGTCCTACTGTGATCGATAAATGACTCAGCCCTGCCCTCTGCTGGCTGAAAATACAGAATGCAGTCTCCTAAAACATGAGCTCCAGCAGTTCATTTAACACATTCCTTTATGCCAGGTTTGTTATGTTGTAAACACTGAATGAAGTTAAAATTTAAATACATAAACATTAACAGAGTCAGTTCCTCCTGAGCTGTGGTCATCTCTCTTTTTCTGACTGAACTGCATCACAGATTGTCGTAGATCTGTAAAGAGGAATGAGAAATGCATGTTGCCAGACAGACAGAATTTTTTTCACTGTTCTTCAGACGCCACTAAGATCACACTTGCTCCCTCGAATGCTGATGTGAGTGTGGGTGAAAATACCAAGATGCAGTGCGCCGCATCACACGACTCAAGTCTTGACCTCACCTTCATCTGGACTCTCAACGACCATGTGATCGACTTCGACAAGGAGGAAGAATATTACCAATACGTCATGGTGAGACTACCGACCACACTTAAAATGCTGACAGCAGCACTGTTCACAGAGTGCTCTTCACACTGTGTTATTACTGCAGACAAGTGATTTTTTTGTAGTGAGCTTAGCCTGACAGGTTTGGCAGTGGACTGAATGTAGCTGCTTTAATGATCACTTCCTGGCATCATTTTCACACTTAAAGCCCAGTACATTACCAGCATACCTTCACATGTGTGGTCCTTACACTGTTCAGACTTGCAACGCTTTGATGTCAGACTCAGACACTCCGCCAAGCTCCATATCGGAAAGTCTGTCCACTCGACAGCCATCTCGACATCATCACCGGGCAGTTATTTCTAGTCATGTGAGAACAGACTCCTATCTCTTTGAATGGGGAGAGACCCCGTAAACCTGAAAGTAAAAGCTACATTAACATGTCAATAACATATTTGATATCACTGGTGAAATTAACAAAAAGAGCATAAATAGTTTGTAGCGTTTGGTTCAAATAACACAAATAATGAACACTTTTTCAGCTTGTTCTGCTTGACATTGTCACTGGGCAGTGCACTGGCCACTGCTTGGCATCGTCATTGCACATGCGCAAATATCCACAAAGAGCGGGATTTCTTTTCCTGCTTACAGCTTAACCAGCAAGCTGAATGGCCCATTTTATTGAAGTTCTAGACTTTTTCCACAGACATCATGTCGAGAGCTTTTCCGTTAATTTTTTTAACAGTGATCTGTCTCCTCGTCTCTGGCTCTGCCCATACTCAGACGAAGCATCTGATAGTTTTCACACATTAAGCTGGCTCCAGCTGTCGGGATTATGTCAGTATCATTCTGATTGGCTATCCAGATAGCTTTATAAATGCACTTCTGTGCTGTAGGTTTTATCAGTCTAATGGAAAACGCATGATTGCAAACAGTTACCTGCTCTCTTCGAGCAAGAATCACTGAATTAAAAAAAAAGTTGATGACTGTCAGGCATTACATCTTAAAAATGTATTTCTTTCAAGAATTTAGTAGATTTTAAGCGAGATATTCTCATGAGTTTGCCCATGCCTTTGTCTCCCGTGGGTTGCAGCCCCATTTTGAAAAATCTCCTGCTCCTGCACATCACAATAAAACAGTGGTCTGGTGTTGGTTATTTTGCAATTAAATTTCCTGTCCTGCCAAACTACGCAGAGTTTCTGATGATAGGTCAGCACATAAATCATATTTTACCAAGATGTATGCATTCACATTTGCTATGGAAGTCTTGTTAAACAGGACGTGATGTTCTCAACATGAACACTCAGCACTTCCTTCATTTCTGAATCATTGTACAATCACTGTACAAACAAAAGCACAGAACACAGAAATGTTCTGCTTTTCGAGCCATGCTGCATCACTTCTGCGTAGTAGCAGACACCCAGATTTTTCCTGTTTCTCTCAAGCAAAATAGAATCATGTACAAAATACACTGCCATGACTTTTTTTTTTACTGGGTAAAACAAAAAACTGGAAACTGTCACGACAAAAATGTTGCAGAAACATTGCACAAACCAAGGCATCATTGTCTTTCTCAGTAATCAGTTTCTGTTCAGACAAGCACTGTAGGTAAAGCTGGAGGAATTGTACTAGGTCTTGTGCACATAGATTAAAGTCTCTTTTAAAAATATCAAAGGGGCTTAGTTAATACAGTAAACTGTCTTTTTTTTCAAAATTGTCCCCAGTGGGACATTAGACTATTTTTCACACTGAACAGTTTGTCTTAAAAAATGTAAAAGTCACTTAACTGTGTATATCTCCACAGGTGCTCACTTAATTTGTAATTTAAACACATGCGAAAAATGATGCCGATATCATTTGTAAAAGTACGTCTTTAAAGCTAGGCAAGACATGCTTCTAAAAGACATGACTGATGCTGTTGGCCTTTTAGATTTGAGCAGTGATTTCCCCACTCATCCATTCTCAATAAGCCAGCTTGGCATAGACTCTAAAATAGTCCAGCCTCACCTACCTGCATTCATCATCTCTCATCTCCTCTCAGTGAAAGAGAGGGAGCCTATAATGGACTAATGATGGATGATGGCCTGTGGCAGGCTGCGTTCATGCAGCAAGACCTCTTTCTTTTGCCATTCCGGCACTTAGGCACTTACTGGGTGTTTCACTGTATGCTGTTTGTGTTGTGGCAGAGCTGAATGACTTACTGCACTAAATAGCACTTCCTTTAAGTGATGCAAAATTCCATTAATCAGTGTGGCCGCTGAAATTAATTGAACCCTATGCAGTGTGAATAAGTAATGATATGACATACTTTGACCACTTTGGTACCACATACCCTGTTGATATTGATGTTGTGGCATTTAGGCTGATTTACTCTATTATGGTCTCTTTTGAGGCCTGTTATTTATGAGACACCATGTTTTGCTCCCTGTTTTGATGAGAAATGCTGCTCATTATCAATGTGCAGTTCTGTTCAATATCAGTATTACTCCACAGTGATGTTAGTGCACAGCAGCTATACCTCTGGATCTCATCGTGTCTGTATGTGTGTCTCTCAGGATGGCCAGGCGGGCATGTCGAGCTGTGAGCTGCTGATTAAGAACACTCAGATGAAGCATGCAGGCCGCTACACCTGCATGGCCCAGACACCTGTGGACAATGTCACCGCCTCTGCTGACCTGGTGGTGAGAGGTATGACACACGCGCACACACTTTGCCTTGAATGAGACAGCAGCAATGCCTTCTTCAAAGGAAACTTCCCATACAAAAAGTTGATATTTATATTTAAACTCACTGGCCACTTTCTTATACATCTACCTCGCACCTACACTCACTATCCATTTTATCAGCTCCACTTACCATGTAGGGGCACATTGTAGTCCTACAATTAGAGACTGTAGTCCATCTGTTTCTCTGCATAATTTGTTAGCCCCCTTTTACCCTGTTCATCAATGGTCAGGACCCCCACAGAGCAGGTATTTTTTGGGTGGCGGATCATTCTCAGCACTGCAGTGACACCGATGAGGTAGTTTTTGAACACATCAGTGAAATACCCAGCCAACAGCATCCTGTGGCCAGAAACTGACTGCTGATCAAAACATAGAAGGTTGGTGTGCAGCAACAGATGAGCAATTGTCTCTAACTTTACAGCTACAAGGTGGACCAACAAGGTAGGAGTGTTTAGAGTGGACAGTGATTGGACACAGTGTCTAAAAATCCAGCAGCACTGCTGATTCTACTGCCAGCTCAACACTCGCTAACATGTCACTACTATGTCAGTATCACTGCAGTGCTGAGAATGATCCACCACCCAAATAATGCCTGCTCTGCGGTGGTCCTGTGGGGGTTGAAGAACAGGGTGAAAGGGCGGTAACAAAGTATACAGAGAAACAGGCTACAGTCTGTAATTGTAGAACTATAAAGAGCACCTAGATGGTACATGGACCTGATAAAATGGACAATGAATGTAGATACGAGGTCAGTGTACCTAGTGAAATGACCAGTGAGTGTAGATTTCAACTACTTTGGAATATACTAACAACATATAACAACAAATTTTGTTTTCACAGGGGTCTCTTTATGTAACCCTTTGATTTGCAGTGAGAGGTGAAATATAAGTCGTACCAGAGATGCAGTTGTAGGAGCATATCAGCAGTAGAGTAATGGACTAAAAAGGCCCTTTATTCCCAGCTTCCTTGTATTGTAATTTATTTGGACTGCGCTTGGGAATTAAGTGTGTCATGTGAAACGGCAGTTGATGAGTCTTGATAAACTAATTAGCTTTGTGTTTGAAATGTTAAAGAAATGTTATGACAGCGAGTGCCATTCCATTATTAAACTGCACTGAAAATGTTCTAATAAACTGAACTGCCTGACATTCTGCTTGCCGTAGGATGCAGTGAAGGCAAGAGTAATGTTCTTCCCTGGGCTCAGTGGTTGGCTGCAGTGCTGTAGGGAGAGCTGGATAATGAGGTGTAAATCAAATAAGAGTAAGCAGACTGTGCTGCTTTAGCTTGGACAGGTCTGCCAGCCTAGGCGCCCCATACTGCCACTGTCAAAATACTCACAAACACCAAACACACACACCCACACACAGAGGCCTGAAAGCCTTCTGTTTTGGGTGGAGGCCAACTGCAGAGGGAGCCAGAATTATGGTCAGTCATTTTCAGCAGAAAAAGGGGTTTTAGTGGGAAATGTAAAGTTCCTCTTGGTGTGATATGGAGTTCAGAGACAGAGATGGCAAATTATTGAGAGTGACCGATGTTATTTCTGGCACCAGGATTATAATGGATGATAGACTTCTGCCAGAACTCTGTTCTTCTCCTTATTCTCCAGTGGTTACAAGACAGTCATAACAGATTTGTTGTTTTGCTTACGGATGTCTGATTTTGCCAGGCTGTGTTTCGTAGATGTTAGCGGTTGCTAATGGGACATGGTGGTGTGCCAGTGACCATAATGTAGTCTTGAGTTTGGAACCATTTGCAAAATAAACTGCATTAAACACAGCTACGGTCAATGTGTTTGGGGATGGAGGTCTTAGCATGGCATATTTGTAGGATAGAGATTAGAATGGATTTCCTGGGCATGTCTCGATTGTGTTGTGCATGACAGGAACCATCATCATCTTTCTTTTCCTCCTGTTTAATCTTAATTTTTAATAATAGACAATCAGGACATTTTTGCTTACTGCAGTTCAGTGTATGATGTGTGCTTATTGGGTGTGTGGAGGGAACCAGACACAAGTCATTTGAGGTGTATTCTGTTTAAATGTTTCAATATTGAGTCAGTGATTACGATGACAGATGAAACTGCACGGTTTGTTTTGCTGAGGAAATACTGTTGAATGGAGATCAATGATGGCATTTCAGCTTCTCATGCTTCTTGTAACTTCGATGAGGCTCATGCTGTTATTTTCCTGAGGCCTGGGGTGATCTTCAGCTTCCGTAAAGCAGCTAATTCCCAGCAGCGCTCAGCAATCAAAGACGCTGATTTATTGGTTCTAAAAGACATCCTGTTATTCGTTTGCCCCAAATAGTAACATGTCTAAGTGCACTTTAGTACAAAACTACTTCACTGACTCAAATGTTGGATGATGGCTTTATTCGTCAGACCCAAGTTCTTGTAATAAGCATAACGCGAGTGCTGAAACCTGAAATCTTTTGCATGACAATGACCACAACTAACAGTCCTTCTTGTGAGAAGTTCTGTCTTTTTCTCCCTGAGTGTGAGTTCAAGAGCTAGTGCTAACAATCTGGCTTTTCTATCACTTGATTTATTTCCATCTCTGTGGAAAGAGAGGGTGAAACTGCACCAAAGAAAATAAACAGAGAAATAATGGACGACCGAGCTTTCCATTAAGGGTTCTTGGTTGATTTACAGGATTTTAATGTGTGTTGAAGCCAAAACCAACGGCTTGGTCAGATATATTATGAGGAAAACGTTTATAGGAAGTGGGTAATATGCTTGAGACCTCAAGCATAAACTCCTCAGCACCAGTCATTATTTAACATTTTGTGCTAAAATGTTGAATGTGAAGTGCAGAGTAAACATCAGGCATTACCTTTCCTTCCAGAGTTTTGGGCTGTAGTTATTTTGAGTGAGTGAAATGGGATATGCCCAAATCCAAACTGTAGTTAATTAGCGAATAAAATGTAGATGAAAGCCAGTTTCTCTCTCATTACATATTAAGGGCCTCCTGGACCTTCTGGAGGGGTTCGTGTGGAGGAGATTGGGCCGAAGTCTGTGAGGCTGCTCTGGAGTCAGGGTTCGGATAACCTTAGCCCCATCTCCAAATACACCATCCAGTACAGAGAAACCAGAACACCGGAGGAGGACTGGAAAGATGCAGTTACCTGTGAGTACACCGGTACTGCCTAACAGGAATTCCTCAAGTAACATTTAGGATTTTCTGCTTTTATATTTAGCTGACACTTCAAAGCACTGTTATTCTTGTAGCATTCTATGTGAAAAAGATCCAAAGACCTTAGAGATGATCATTTTTGATATAGCAGTTTTTTCCTCTCTTGGCAGTGGTGTTTTAAGAGTTTTAAGAGTGAAGCTGAAGTAGTTAACCTTATCTGCATAGGTCCAGTGAGGGCACAAGTGATTTGTTTTGGTGCCATATTTGTCATACATTCATGTTCATAGAGTGTCAGTTCCTAGTAACTTGTAGTAGATTATGCCAACCAAGCTCTTGCTCTTGAATTTTCTGTAGTGCATAAAATGTACGTTGTGACCGATAGTTGTAATTTACATGTTCTCAGCCCCTCCAAATGTAGAAGGCAACGCAGAAACAGCCACGGTGGTTGATCTGATTCCCTGGACTGAATATGAGTTTCGGGTCATTGCTACGAACACTCTGGGTACAGGAGAGCCTAGTGACCCATCTCCCAAAACCAGAACACAGGATGCAGGTATATTCCTGGGTTTCATTTTAGTGTTGCATGAACATTATTGTTTACTTATATTTCGTGCCATATTGAGAGATACAACTGTGCCAAATTGTTAATGAATATAATTACTAATGACACATTACTGGGTTGTGGAGCTTGTGGAGCACTGTTTTGGAGAACCTTGTGAAATTTAGTTAGTATTTTCAGTTTAAATGATTCAGAGACTGCATTAAAAACAAGGTGATGGCCTTGACTTTATCTGCTCCATCCGATCTGAAATTAAGAGTAGACAAATGTTTCTACTGTTTGGTGCTGTTAGTATTCACAGCAGTTTATAGAAGCCCTTTGGAAATGCAAAGTCTCACATTCTTCTCCCATGTTAGTTCCTGTGGTGGCACCCTCAGATGTAGGTGGAGGTGGGGGAACAAGTAGAGAGCTCACCATCACATGGACGGTAGGTACCGTTTTGTTTGTGAATGCCTATTTTTAGCTCTAGTGGAATATTTTCATTTTCTGTTGCATTCCATGAACAGGTTTATCTAAATGACTCCCTGATTTCTATTCTGTCCTCAGCCTGTGCAGCCCCAGTACTACTATGGCAGTAACTTTGGTTACATCATTGCATTCAAGCCTGAGGATGGCTTTCAGTGGCGTAAAGTGACCGTCGCAGACCCTGAGGCCAGACGTTACGTCCACAAAGACCCCTCCATTCCTCCTGCCACAAAGTTTGATGTGAAAGTGAAGGCCTTTAACAGCAAAGGAGAGGGACCTTACAGCCTCACTGCTGCCATATACTCTGCTCAGGATGGTGGGTGTCTGAGGCAGACCTGCTGTCAATTTACATGTACTCTTAACGTTCTGTAGTAGAGTCACAGCAACACCGAGGTGGGTTAAGCCTACAGATATGTCATTTTTAGCAAATCACAGACATGACCAAAAAAAGATTTCAGTCTGTCTGGAGATTTTAGGGAAAAATGCAGATATAAATGTATTTCTTGTGTCATAATAAGTCTAAACCAGTGTGATGTTTTCTGTGCAGATTTTCTGTCAGAGGTGAACAGAGCTACATTGCATGGTGTAGATCAGTAGTTCTCATACGAGCCCTCAGGTCCCCCGGTCAGTCCGTATTTGCTCTAACCCAACACATAAAGACAGAGCAAAGGTGTGGACCATCTGGAGGGCCCTGAGGACTGGTCTGAGAGCCACTGGTGTAGATAATTTGCCCTATTTCCTTAGTAATACTGCACAAGCCGTTATTGTGATCTTTAGTAGTGGGTGGTATATCAGTTTATCTCGTACACCAGTTGAAACACAGGTATGACAAATAAATAAGCACAGATAACGCTACATACAAACAGTGCAAAGTCACATTTCAGTCACATTTCAAATGAAAACAGCAGGACCTCAACCACCTCCTGCTGTCTAGTCTGTTGCATTTGAAGTAGTAGACTTTGTTTTTTGAGGCAGCAGACATGAAGGAATGAATGGTCTTTTGGGGTTAGCCTTAGCCTAACATGCACACCAGAGAGCTTCTGTTTATATCTGCCTGACTCAGTCAGCTTCATCAGAGAGCGCTCTTGTGGTTTTTGCTTGCAGCAAGCTGTGGAACAGCTGATAATGATATCTCTATAGCTGTGATATTTTCCAAATTACAGCAGTGTGTAGCGGTCGGAAGCATGGGACGCAGAAATGAGACGAATGACTTAAGAATTTCGACTAGGCTGAAGTTGACTTCATTTAATGTCCACGTTAAATGGTACAACAGTTATATTCAGGTACATGTTCAGATATGTATCTGCTGCTCTGTTTAAAGTGGAACAAAAAGTTTGAACAAAAAGCTGGCAAACTGAAGACAACTTCAGCTTTATGGAAATTAAGATGTGAAACAACATTAAGCACTGTTTTTCCTGGGCCTGCGGGGCAGGTGTTGACAGAAAGCAGTATTGACATAGGCTTATCTATGTATTGTGCAATTTTATTTTTGCTGTTTTGCAGTTTTGATTTACTTTAGTTGTTAAAAATGGCTCTTATTTAAAAGTGAAGAGACATCCCAGGATAATAAGCCACAAAAATAGGTTTACTTAAGCATCTAAAATGGTTTGATATGAATATATATACAGTGACATATAACAAAACCATCAGAAATTCTAATTTTACCGTGATATAGATTTTTGGCCATACTGCTCCTTACAAGTGGCATTACTATGTACATAGTACATTACATAGTACATTTTGAAAGCCTGTACATGAAGGGATGCTAGTTTCTGTTAATTCTGTTCTGTTTTCTGTTAATTCCAGTTCTGATTTTAAACTTTCACCAGAGCTCCACTCAGACACTCATTCCCTTATTCAACACAGTCATTTCTCCTTCCAAATCCTAAAAATTCTAAGTCCTTATGATTAGTAGCCTCCCCTCTCGTCTAGTCTTGGGATTTACTCTGATCACCGTAACACTGACATTAAGCTGATAATACCAGCTGCGGGTATTCTAGACATTTAACCCACTTATTAACACACACTGAAAGACAGCCATGACACCATTCTGCCCGACATTCTTTCCTGCATCTCGAGGCTCTGTCGTCCTGGTAACCCAGTGCGATGTTAGTGGGGAAGCAGCTGAATGCTCTGACACATCCTTGGGGCCGAGCCCAGACAGAGATTCGGCACAAGAGGAGCATTGGCCACAGCAGATGTAGGGCAGGACTTGGGTCATAACTCGTACAAGAAATTAGGCAGGAGAGAGTGATGGTGGTCCATGTTCTGTAGCTTAAGTGTAAATGACTTTATCTGTATGGCTATAGTGTGTATGTTTGAAAGCATTTTATTTGGATGTATGGACAGACCAAACTTTTAGTTCTGTAGTTTATGCCCAAGGCTCAGTGTGTAGATGTGTTTGTTGTGATGTATTTGTCGCTCTTCCTGTGTATCCTCAGTGCCCTCAGAAGCCCCCACCATTGTAGAGGCCAGAACTCTCTCAGCGACAGAGGCCATTGTATGGTGGCAGCCAGTCTTACAGCAGACAGTAGAGGGCTATCAGGTGAGTGTTGCATGTGCAGTACTATGCAAAAGTCAGAGACTGACCTTTCATTTATTTGTTTTCCATTCAAATTTTCCATTCAAAGTTAGTGTCAGAAAATAGCAGAAAACACACACAAACACACAATGAGGTTTATGTATAATTTTCTTTTAAGTATACACACACACATTTTCTAAACCGCTTATCCTCCTGGGTCGAGGGGGGTGCTGGAGCCTATCCCAGCGGTCATTAGGTGGAAGGCTCTGTTAGTTATATGTTTTCTTTTTTTCTGACACTGAAAATGAATAACTGAATGGCTGTTTTAACTGGAAATTACATAAATGAAAGAATGGTCTCTGACTTTTGCAGTGTAGTGTCTAGAGTAGAGTAGTGTAGAGTAGTAGTAGTGTATGGTGTGTAATTGCTGTAGCTCCCTCCAGTTAAATCACGAACAAAAGGCACTTATCGAGTTACAAGCATTTAATTTTGACATCCATGCCATCATACGTACTGTGAGAACTAGATAAATAAATACACAAATCATAAAATGAGTCTAGTGCAATACAGCAACATTCGCATAGAAAATAACCATTATAAAACAGCACAACACAAATATAGCTCACATTAAACCGAAGGCTATAAGCCATTAAACTTGTATCAAAACGTAGATATGCCATCACAGTACTATGTGACCTCCACTAGCATTTTAGCTGTAGGCTAACCCATATGTATAAACATAATGTGGGAACACACATATAACCTTGCTTACCTCATTGGCGGCGTTAACTCAAAGGGGGAAAGAGAGAAAACTTCATGCTTTTACAAGTCTTCACTCAAGTCCAGTCTTCATGAACCGTAATGTACACCAGCATTACTTAAACATCCCCTAAAGCTTAACATGTGCTCTGCTTCTCATTGTAACGCACAGAGTGCACCAACGTAAAGAGTTCAATACCTTAATTATGTCAACCAGCAAAATTTGATTACAAGCTCAAATTGCACAACTGACTTTGACAGCAGTTGCATACTGCAAACATTTTTACATTCATGTGATTCTTGAGTTGTTTCTCTTGGCAGCCCTACACATACTATGTGATGATTTGCTAGCCATACAACTTTTGTTGTATTAGAGTTACATTATAATGATAAAACACATTTTGTAGGAATGGACATGTTCTCTAAAAGTTTAGTTTACAAATACCATGTTGTTCTATCACAGTAACTATTTAGTACTAAGTGTGCTACCCGGTAGCATTAGTAGCATGTATTTGTCCTGTGGCAGGTGAGATACTGGAGGAAGTCAATGGAGAATGAGGCGACAGCACAGCGCATCTCCAACAGAGAGAACCAGACGCGCCTTGACAACATGAAGCCTGACTCACATTACGTCATTGAAGTGCGTGCATTCAATGGTGCAGGATATGGACCACCCAGCCAACGATATGAGATCCACACAAAGAAAGCTCGTAAGCTATATACTTTCATTAAACCTTGCCTGCTGTTTTTTACCATATTGTTTGACTGGATACACACTTGAACTAATGGATAAAATACTGAGATCCAACACTTCCAACTTTTTCAACTTAGTATTCAGAGCTCTCCCCTCAGATCTCATACTCGTTATCATATCTGAACACATGTATAAGGCTCATATGAGTTTTCCTCTCCTCTCAGCTCCAAGTCGGCCTCCAAATATAATCAGCACGAAGATGAATCCCAGTGGGACATCAGTCAACATTGCCTGGGAGCAAGTGGAGCCTTTAGTCAATGAGTCCACAGTGCAGTGTTACAAGGTGTGTTACACATAAACATTAAGTGGTAGTGTCACGCAATCAGTTTACTGGGACTAAATGAATATTCTGTCTGGTTTGAAACAGCACTCCTACTTAATTAAGGTTAATGTTTTAGCCTAAGATCATGACAATGCTTTAATAAATAGTTTTGGAGTTACATGAGTGATGAGAATGCAAGAAGACAACTTGACAGCACTTGTATAATTGTATAATAAGTAGTTATTAAGGCTACAGAAAAAAGCACAGACGTGTTTTAGCACACGGCCTTCCTCAATGAGAAGAGTAAAAAGTATGCCTCAAAGCTTATAACAATGTAGTTTCAAATTTTCATTTGGCATTTTTTATGTTTTGAATACATAAAAATATATTTTTATTCATTATAATTGCAATGGTTGTAAAACTGAACTAAGCTGGCTGACTGCATTTTTCCATTTGAGTGTTGTGTATGTTAGCATGGCCTGTTTTTGTAAGTAAATATTTGTGTATTCCCACCTGCTCTTCCAGGTTCTCTACAGGCAGGAGGGCCGAAGCACTGGGGTGCTTTACACCACAGATAAGCAGTATATAGACCTGCCCATGCGCAAGGATGGAGATTATCTGGTGGAGGTGAGAGCACACAGTGAGGGTGGAGACGGAGCTGTGGCACAAGTGCGCATCTCAGGTGAGCTCTCCTCTAGCAATAATGTGAGATACCTACTCTGTGTGTGTTGTTTTATTTTACTTCATGATAAGTCTGTTATTTGGTCCTAGAATGGTACGTTAACAGTGTGGCAGAAAAAATAGTACATCAGTAACAATTATGTAAATATTAGTCATTCTTTCAGATATGTACGTGTGCGTGCATGTTCCTGTGTGTGCATATATATATATATATATATATATATATATATATGTACCAGACCAGGGTCGAATAAGTTAATGTTGAGAGGATTTTTCTCCCTCTCTTTCATGTGAGCATTTCTGGTTGGATCACATAGGTGTCAGTGTGGCCATTTGTCAGTGTCAGGCACCTGTGGTCATGAACAGGTGCTGACAGGCTAAGGGAGAGAGAAAAGACAGAGGGGGTACCATAATGATAGATGAGACTCACTTTGAGTGCTGTTTTTTTTGCTTACAATGCTGTACTCTGTGCCATGAGTTTTATATATTATGTTTCACAAAGCTACATACAGTACTGTGCAAAAGTCAGAGGCCACCCTTCCTTTGTTTACTTTCCAGTCAAAACGACCATTAAGTACAAGTTATTCCTTTTTCAGTGTCAGAAAAAAAAGAATTTTACAAAATATTACACAGAAGCCTCAAGAACTAAATATATCTAATCTTAAACACACTCAGTGATGTTGATGTCTGGACTCTGGGGCAGTCAGTCCATTGTTCTGAGCACAATAGCAGATTCTTTGTTTGACTTTCAGTTTTTCTTGTTTTTTGTCTATTTTCTTTTCTCAGTAAGGTCTTCTTGGCAGCTACACATGGACAGAAACACTTGAGGATTTTTTTCAGATTTGAAGCAAGAGTGGAGCTTGATTTCTGTTTGCCTTTCAAAGATAAATTATCTGGTGACAGTTTTGGTGGTCTACAAGGTCTTGCACAGTTGTTAGGTGTTGTTAAAGATCTTTCAGTTATTTCTTGAAGTCCTGGTCAACCCTGGTTTTGTTGATTTGTAACTGAAAATAAGTTAACACATCCTCTACAGAGAACAAACTTAAACATGAGATTTTCCTGCAAACTTTAGTCCACAATTTCTATTTACCTTCTGGATAAATTGGAAAATTTATTCTGAGCATATTGGGGAAAAATTGCCATAACTGAGCATACTAGGGAAAAAACATGCCATAACTTTTGCACAGGCCACATTTTATGGTTTTATTTCCTCAATATGCTAAATTCAGCAAATAAACAGTACTAGTGCATTAAAACGTGCAGAAGTGTGTTCTCCATAGAGAATGATATAAAGGATATAATTTGACCAAAAGTGCCCAAACTTTTGCATATTTTTCCTGACTTTCTCTGTCCTCTTGCTTGTGTGTTTGTGCAGGTGGGGGTGTCTTGGTGGCCCAGTCTCTCAGCATCTGTGTCCTGCTCCTGGTTGCAGTGCTCAGCCTGGCACTCTGAATGTAGCGCCATCCCTCCTCTGTCTTCACTCCTTCAGTGAAGAGGACTCTCGCAGGATGACGCCTTACAGGACTCTTATTCCACAAACGCCGAAGCTCAACGATGAATATTCCCAACTTGGAATAAGCTTTGTGGGAAGAAAAGACACTATAGAAATCCGTAAAGTACAAGGACATGGAGGATACTCCACTTTCAGAATCAAGATTACAAACATGGAAAAGCATCAAAGGAGTTCTCTCTTGTTCAGTATGCCTTACAATATCTCTTACCCTGATCTTTTACTCTTGGGCTGCTTGCGGTAAAGATCTCTGCATTTCACGATTTAAAACACAAAAATTCCAACGTTGTTTCAATTTCAGTCATAACATTCTTTGAGCAGCTTGCTCTTTTCTGCAAGTGACTTATGATAAAAGATTAGTGTAAGAGGGTCTGATAATTGTTTTATATGTAGTTTGCAAATCAGTGGCACTCCCTTTATCATTTCAAAACTAAAGCACATCCCTCCCTTAATGGATACAGTCAAAGCAAACTCCTATCCTACTACTTGGACTCAATGCTCTAATTAAGGTGATGCATAACAGACAATATAGCAATTTATTTCAAGCTAGTATATGTATATGCAATAATTTATAAGCTATCGATCTCTTAATATATTTCAATATATTATTTCTTTGCTCATATTAACATATCTCTAATAGAAAGATTATTTTACTTAAAGAGATTTCAAAGCCCTTACACAAGAGTAAATGAACAGCTGGAATTGAGATGTGTGCATGTCGCTTCTGGGATCTAAGTGAGGATCGTCAGGGGTCAAATAAAATTGTAAATTTATCATCATTGCTGAAATTCTGTACCGAGGAGTAATATTGTGTTTGTATGTGTAATATATGTGTGGAAAACATATCTAACCCATGGTTTTAAACACAAACAGGACTCATGCACATATACATATATTATGGAAATGTATATGTATATATGTAAGTGTGTCTATGTGTGTGTAGACTATGGCAATATCCACTGTGGCATGCCTGGGGCCGTGTTCTCAAAGTATCTCTAGGTAGGAGTGATGTTTTGGTCAAACTGATGCTTGACTGTCACTCTTAGCTTGGGGAACTGTGAATGCAGACCAGGGTGATGCTACAGCAGCGCTTTACGATTTCAACCAATGTCGTTAGTACTCATTGTCTAACCATGAACCAAACTGAGGCTGAAAACGGCTCTGCGGCTTTGTTTTGACTGTATCATTAGAAGCTCTGTATGAGTTACAGGTGCTTTGTAAAGAATGTTGACATTTCATTTTCTGACCCATTTCTTTACCTCCATTGCTTTTAATCGTGTCATGTTCTGAGTAACAGTTGTATGGACTCAATAGCAGTGCAGTGTCTGATGCTACAAATGCTAACTGCTTCGAGCTTTTATCACGACCACATCAGTGAGGTGCAAAAATGAAGGAAAAACAAGCATTCCATTCCTAAAGGAAAAAAAAAATTTCACTGATCATTTACTGTTTTTTTTTTATATAGTGTCCTTTATGCTTAAGGATTTTATTTATGATGGGCTGTTTGTAGAAGTGTGGAGAATGAGTAGACGAGCCATGAATGGACTGAAGCATTTAGTCATCCAGTATGATTTTTCCTTGAGCTGAATTTGTTGCTAAATGCTATAATACAGCTGTGAGATTTGTGAACCCTTTGAAATGATCTGGATTTCTATGTGAATTGCTCCTAAGACCCAAGTGTCAAACTGGTGCTGGAGGGATGAAGTCCAGCACAGTTTGGTGATTTCTCTGCTCAAACGCACCTGGTTTATTGTCTTTACTTAATTGTCAAGCTTTGTTGGTGTGTTAGAGTCAAGAAATGACTAAACAGTGCTCGCTGGACACTAGACCTCCCTAAAGTTCACTGGTGTTCTAAAATGTGGTCCGATCTAAATCATAATCTGATTTAAATCAGAATAATACATAGAAACAACACACAACAACCACATTTTATAATTCCATATCTTTTCCAAACAATGGTTTAAACAGTTAAGGTCATTAATAGAGAAAAAGTCAAGTAGTCTAACATCATTATATTACCTCCACCATGTCACAGCTGAAATGAGGCTTTTATATAGGTATTGTTTTGTTTCTTCAAACACAATGTTGTGTACATTTGCCATAAAGTTCTTCTGTCTCATCTGGCCATAGAACATTGTTCCAGTAATGCTGTGGAACCTCCAGGTGGTTGTTAGAAAACTGGAGACAGGGAGCAGTGTTGTTTTTAAAGAGCAGTGGTTTCCTCCTTGGCCACCTTACACGAAGACCAGTACTGTTCAAAAGCAGAGCAGTGTCTGATGTTCATGTTTTTTTCTTATGGTAGACTCTTGAACATTTTGTCCAGTTCAAGAGCTGCCTTTAGATCCTGGACAGTAACCCCTGGGTTCTTTTTCATTTGTGGAAGATTCTATGGCAAACCCTTTCACTGATCTTTGTAGGACACCCACTCCTAGAGAGAGTAGCATAGGGCCTGAGTTTCCAGTCTTATGAGTCATGAGAGCTTTTCTTCAGGTTTTCTTTGAAATCTCTTTTGAGTGTACCATTGCTCCAGATTCTGGTATGTAGAGCAGGTGCTCTTTTATGTGGCAGTGCAGGTCAAACCCAAACCTAAACTGAACAGAACATCTAATTCCAATAACCCCTTTTTCCAAAACTAAATTGACTGAATTTATTAAGATCAGACCACAATTCCAGAACAGTTTATGCCAAAATCCACTTACTTTTAAAGGTTCATTTTTCTCACAACTGTTTACTGACACGCCCAAAATACTTGTCTTTTATTTGTTATTAATATATGTTAATATTTGTCACTTATTTGACAATATTCTAGTTTATTCAATTAAAATGCTGCGTTTTGATATTTCCAGTCATGTTTAAGGAGATCTCCCATCTGAAGATCAAAATGACTTCTAAAAAGTACGTAAGAATATAGGTTCAGGTTTTTTTTTCTCTCGAGTCTGAGGCCATTTATTACTATTTGTGTATGAAACAGCGTATAAAATTTTGATCTTTCAGATCAACTGTCTCCTTAAATATGTATGAATTTTAGCCATTGCTTCAACATTTTGTGAGTAATATTCAATGACCACCACAAAGTGCTTTCTCTTTCCCAGTCAGGCAACAGAATCATCAACATGAACAAAAATAATAATAATAATATTAATAATTGCCAAATGCATGAATGCCTTTAACTTTTGCAATCTACATTTGGAGGTGAAATGGTACGCCCTGAAATGCATGATCTGGAAATGAATGGTTCGTTCCAGTTGCATTAGAACGCCATAGCTACTCATTTGCGATCAAGGTGACTCATGTAACTCAGCTTCTTCTGATCTGCCTCTGTCAGCCAATAAAATGTCTGTTCAGCCTGAATGGCGAGCTCTCTTTGTCAGAGACGATGTAGATAAAGTCTAACCCATGAGTCATTCAAGCCATTCTTCTCAATTAAAGTTTATAGAGACAAAACCAACATGACTCAAATGTGTTATCACTGGATTTCAGTTACTGCATATATTCTTACATATAAAATGAAGAAACTCTTTATTGGCTCTATTAGCCATTTTCTGTCTTTGTAAGTTAGTTAGGCAAACATACAGTCCGCCACACATTATGCTCGTTGAGTGAAGAATACTGACCTCTGTTAGCCCCCCAGACTACAGGATTTTAGGGGTTTAACCTTCCTTTGGAACCCACTGTTGTAATGGTTTAGAGTAACCAGGTTATTTTTGTGTTAAGCCGTAAAAGGATTTTCAGTTTCAGTATTTTTCCTAATTTAAAGCTAGTTCCTGAAATAAACATGCCATTACTTATTTCCAGTAGAAGGCCACTTCAGGTATCATCATACCATACCAATGATTACATACCGTGATTACCCACAAATAAAATGTTAGGTTTACTTAAAAATGTTATGTCAAGTGGTTCCACACAACTGTGCTAAGTGGCTTTGAAGACGCTCAGTTGATTTATATGTACTAATTAAAGAGCATTAAATTAAAAGGTTTAAGTTAGATCTTCAACTTTGTTATTTTTGTGTTGTAGAATAACACTCAGCAGGAGGTTACACTGTAAATTGCACATACAGTCAATAACAATGTAGGCTAGGCAGCTAAGCATGTAGGCTAGGCATGCGTTCGCTGTACAGTTTGGTTAAGCATGGAGTATAAAAAGACACAAAAAAAGGTATTCAAGGGGGTAGATGAGATAGAGAGGGTGAGTAAAAAAAGTAGAATATGCATAGATGATGTCAGGAGCCAAAGGGAAAGATGTTGAATTTTACTTAACAAGATTACAATTACCAAAATAAACACTTATTTATAACTCAGACATCTCACTTAATTTCATTGAAACAACACAACTAACACAGTAACACTGACTCACATGCATTTGGTAAGTAATATCAAAGAGAGAACACTAATTAAAACCAACAACAGAGCAATTACTATTCAATTACTCAATTACTATTCGATTTAATACAGCCTCTGTTAATAGTTGCATTTCTCAATCTTTCCTTCATCTCTAAGATGTTAGTGAAAGCTGTTCATGAACTGAATTTAGGCCACTTTCAAAGTACAGAGGGAGTGCTGTTAAAGACAGTACACAGTCAGTAACTGTCCTGTAACTAGGGCTGTATGTTGTTGATTGTGCTACTTTCACTCAGTACACCATAGACCACAGTATTCTACTAGGCAGGCTCCTCAAATTCTAAATGACTGCAATCAGTTTGTAAATGGTAAAATAGTGTTTACTCTTCTGTAAGTGAAGTATGGTGTCCCACAAGGTTCTATTCTAGGACCATTTCCATATATATGCTGCCACTGGAAACAGTTGTGAGTAACTTCCACTGCTATGAGGGATACACTGTATGTATTAGCCAGATGTTTGACACCAACTTAATAAGACTGAAGATTATGAAAATGAAAGAAAAAACTAGGCATCCTGCCTAATTCAGGTGAAACATTTCACTTGACTTTATCTCAGTGGTCTCAGTGGCTTCTCAGTTGCAAGTGTAGGAATCTTGGTGTCAGTTATTACTCTATCGTTTAATGCTCATATGGGTAACATCACTTGAACACCCGTCTTCTACTTCTATTCACATGATGCAGTTAAACTAGCTCATGACTTAATGACCTCTAGGTTGGACTGCTATAACCCAGATAGCAAGAGGACAGCGGGCCACTGTTGGCCTGTTGACAGCAAAGCTGGAGACTCACTGACATTTTGCTCAGCATTTTCTGGGCAGCCCACTGGTGGTTAAGCAGAGTATTAGACGAAATTCCACTTCACATTGCTCATTTTCTACTCATAGTCCAGTTCACTTACTTTTCCTTACTTTCTTTCTTTTGGTATCCTTAACCAATTCGTTTAGTAAATAATTTTAACAGCAATATCATAAATACAGCGGGTTCTATAGCTGTAACCAATCTAGCACATTATGAGTAACAGCATTTTCAACAAAATCATTTCAATTAGGTCTAATTATTTTTTTGTTCTCTTGTTTGTAAAATTTGTCTTAGTTCATAGTCCAAGATAAATTGCTATGTGCATTTAAAATCTGTTAGAGGAGATTAAAAACTAGTTAAACTTTTATTGTGGATGGTCCAAGGGTGGATCAGCAGTGGCACACAGTCAGCGGGGTGCTGAGCTTATCAAGCCAGAGGACCAATATGCTTGCTATCTGGGAATGACTAAGTATCTGGATGTTTTGATGGATGCCCCAGAATGCAACAGTCCTTAATTAGACCCAGACAGTTTGACAACATGCCCCTGTTTTACTGACACATAATTGGCTGCCTCCTGCTAAACTGTTCAATTTTACACAATACTGGACTGAACTTATTGCCTATAATACATCATGCCTGCTTTGATCACATAGTGAAGGCTCTTTGTCAGTGTCTACAATTTTAAAAATTACAGCAGGAGGCAAAGCTTTTTTCTTCAAAGCCTCCCATCTGTGGAATAACCTTGTCAGTGCAGAATACTGACACAATCTCATCTTTAATTCTAAGCTGAAGACCTACTTGTTTAGCTGGCCCTTGTTGAACAGTGTTTCTCTTTAGCTAGGTGCAGCTGATGTCTTGGTTCCTCCAAGTGTGAGCTGCTTTCTGGTTCCAGACTTTTGGCTGTTATTGCTAGGCCTGCTGGAGTCTGTTATTGCACTATAATCACCATATACATCCTGTATTGAATATGGTGCACTTGAGTACTGTGACACGACAATCTGATTTGTCTCTTTCTTGGGTTTATGTGTGATCCTGCTGCCTGATATGATGCCAGAGCTGGATGCTGATGTGGTACTGCTGTGGTTCCTCTGATTGCTTTGGAGCAATCTACATGTATCATTCACCCTCCTGCTGCTAGGAAAAGCTTCTCCTGGAAGCCCCAGAGATTTTACTGACTTATCTACTCTCACATCTCTCTCAAACATCTAACTGCAATCAATAATTTGTTATTAGCTTCATGTCTGAACATCTAAACCTGCACTATGCTAATATTTACTTTTATTCACCCTTTATTTAATTAGGAAAATCTCACTGAGATTAAAAGTGGAAGTATGAAGCCAAAAATGACCTCTGTGAAAGTCAAAAAAGTATCTACAGTTAAACATTACTCAAGAATATAAAATTAAAAAGGAAACGTTTTAGCAAATAAGTTTAGTTTTATTTGCTTATTTATTTATTTTTGATTGTGATACGTTTGGTTGGATGTTTTAACAACAATATGAGGACCTAGAAAAGAGAAAAATCTCATAGCCTTTGAGATCTGTAATACTCTGAAGGTATAAATGAAAATATAAGGAGTAATATGTTTTTTTTTTCTCTTGAGAACGTAATAGAAGAACAAGTACAGGTACTACATTTGAATTTATTATTTGAGTAAAGTTTAAATCGACTAATAAGCTACACTGGGGATGCAGAAATGTGTAATTGCACGCGACGTGCGGAAGAACATTTACGTGGCTCGTGCCTCGGACCCCTTTCTCGAGGCAGATGAACCTGATGATTGAAAGCAGGTTGAAAGAAGATTCAAAGAGAACTCAGTCAAAACTTGGTGAACGACGTGTCTTTCTTGTTTTATTATCTAACTACTATTGTCACCACATCTTCATCAGAATAACGTTCATTTTGTATTTGAGACCTAAACATCGCGCGAGACCTTCTTGAGTCAGTGCGTGTGCCGTTTTTACGTAAAGACGTATGACGTAGACCGAAAAACCCGCGGGATCCGGCCAGACGCCTCCAGAAAGGTGCTCAGCGCCACTCGGCGAACAGAGTCTGTTGCAGGGAAAGCTGGCGTGGTTTTAAGTTTTTAGAGATTGGACGGAGCGTCTTTTCGCCGCATACAGGCAGGTTTTATAGTCCGACAGAGCAGCGTCCCAACTGAACTACACTGCGTGACGTCAGGCTGACTCAGGGCAGCGCATCGACACTGTATTTACAGTGTTACAGTACTGACTGAGTGATGCTAACGTACTCAGTTTTAACAGTACAGTCATATGAGAATTTTCAGCTCCTTTTCACTGAATAATTAACTAATTATTAACTAATTATTTCCACAGTACCTTTCGCTTATACACGTTTATAGGCGCTGTCTCTGTATTTACTCCACAGAGGAGACCGTGTTCAGCGCAGTATCGGCTAAACAGCGCACCCTAGTGGACTGGCAGACAAAAAGCCGCCCGAGTGCCTCATAACGACTTTCATGAACTCTCTACTTTTATTCCGACGACTGAATAACGAAAAACAGCTCCGGCTCTGCTGGCGGTAAGGCATGAAAAGTGGGGCAAGTTGCAATGGCTCGCTGTAAAGTTTGTGTGCTTATTCTCCTCCCACCTCCTTCATCTCCATCTCTCCAGGCGGAGCGCCAGAGGAGACGGCGGGCCGCCGCAGCTCTGTGGAGAGAATGGGCTCACACACCGCGGGAGACTTCGGTTCAGTTACCAACTGAGCTGACTCTGAGTGAGGAAGACCGCTGCGCTGAAGATGTGGCCCACAGCTCACACACAGGCTCCAACTCGGAGAGACGGTCAGCGAGGTGGTGAGGGCCACGAAGAGCAGCTCCAAACTAAGAACCACCAGCAACAGCTGAAGAAATGCTTGGTGGACAGAAGTGCCAGCGATTCTGACCAGGTAGGTCCTGCTTCTCTCAGCCCTTCTAGAGCAGAAACCTGCCGTTTACAAGTATAATGTAAAATACTTGATTTTTTTTTTTCCTGCAGAAGTTTTTCGCACAGGTAGGAGAAGCACAGCCCTTAAAGGTGACTCTCTACCGAGAAAACGACTTACTGGGATTCAAAGTGGTAGGAGGCCAGTGTGGCCAGGTATAGTATTTATAAGCCAGACTGATTTGTGAGATGTATAGTGTGCTGATGGTGTAATCAGTCTGCAGTATTTATATCTTGTTTAATTCTTTTCATATCATTGTACTAAAGAGTTCATAACTGTAAACGAGTTTCTTGTCCCGTCTGCAGAC